AGTATGGCATAGTGGAGTACTACCTCTGGAGCAATTTATTAACTGTCCTCGGGCTCCTTCCATTGTTCTTTGACTTAATTCCTTCAGCTGAAAAAAGGGGAAAGCAAAAGCAACTGCTTCTCAAAATTGCTGCAAAGATTAAATAAATTAATCCAAGCAAAATATTTAGAACAGTGGCACACTGTAAATGCTAGTTTTTTACAACTTTTATGAACTGGTAAATCCCATTATTTTTTACGAAGACACTAAAACTCAGAATTGTAAAGTGACTAAGGCTGGCAATGACAGAGCTAGTCTAGTATTTTTCACTTCAGTCTGATTCCAGAGCCAGTGTTCTACATCATTAATGTATAATAATAAGACTTTAAAAAAATATATATATATATGTGTTGTCTTCATCCGCAAGCCTGCTCACAGAACAAAGTTCAGGGACCCGGACTGGGAGGTCAAGGCGTGGAACCACCACACAGTCTCCGGGAGGGTTTCTGGAACACTTCCGCTTTATTCAGGAAATGCACAGGCTTATATAGGGTAAGGCAGGGGTGGAGCCAGGGTGGAGTCGGGATATTTGGTACATCATTTTTGGCCACGTTAGTTTTCGGATTGTATGCTTTAGGGGCTGAGGCGAATGGGGTCAGGACTTCAGAGGTTTTTGAGAGGAAGTTTATCCATCTAAGGTAAGATCTCTACACACCCGAGGTGGCGGATTATTCCAGCCCTAATAGGCCTTGGAGTTTTCTCATGAGAGATGGGTGCAGCACTCCGGACTCAGCCAGACATTAACCTGATCCACATATATATATTTTTTTGACTGAATTTTAGGTCTTGAAAGTTACAATAATGTACAGTACCTAGCAGTGCCAATTGTGTTCCTAATAAGGTTATTTTAAAGTGTTTAGGCCATTCCCTTTTTAGCCTCAATTTAATCTTTTAACATCTAAAAGATTTCAGCACTAAATTCCAGAGTGTATAATGTGCTGTCCTTCAAAAGCAAGATGGCTCAGAAGCTTTTTTTCCTTCTTGTATTTTTTCAGTGAAGACGCACAGGGTACACGTATGCCTAGCAGTTGAGTGAAAAGAGACTTCTTTTCTGTACTCTGAAAGTACATTCCTGAAGCAATTTATATACTATTCTCAGGGCTTGATGTTTCTCACTTTCAGTAATTGATACTTTAATTCAAGAAGTTCACAAAATTAACTACAGTACTTGGCAAAATACAATAAATGCAGCAGGAGGATGTAACCAGAAAACTTTCTACATTGCAAGCTTTTCAAAATCTCACCATTTTCTCATGCATGCATACATATACCCAACCACACCACAGTGTTTAAGCCAGCCTATGAGGACCTGTAATATCAGGCCTCCCACATATCCCTGCATCTTTGCTGTCTCCTTACTCTTCTCAGAGGACAGATCCTCTTTTCTTTCCTTAAACTCAAGGGTATCTTTCAGTCCTGCTTTGGGGCTTTCACACTGGTATTTCCTATGCCTGAAAAGTTTTTCCTTATGTCCTGCAATTGCACTGATGCCTTGGGCTCCCCCTCCAAACCTCTAGCTAGTTTAATTTGTCCTTCAGGCTCTGCTTACTTAAAGGAGCCTTCCTCAACAACTCAAACTACCCTCCCTGCTCCCCCTGCCCCATTACACGCATTTGGAACACACTTCTAATCATTTATCCACCAGACTGTAGGCTCAAGGAAGTCAGGTGGTATCTGACTTGTTCAACCGGGCTTCCCTTATTCCTAGCACACCCTGCACATTGTGGAAGGTAAATGAAATTAATATTGGGGTGGGAGTGTAGAGCTTCCTAGAAATGCACAAGGCGTTGGGATTGATCCTGGCAAGACAAAAATAAATAAATGAATAAACAGAGGTAAAGAAATTGACATCCTCTCAGGACTCAAAGAATCAAGTGATAAACTGATTTAACTTCTTCAAAGTCAACACAAAGTATTTCATGTAAAACTGTCCACATGACAGAAATACATAAATAAGACACAGCTTATCAACTCCTTTTGAAGAAAACTTCAGAAAAACCAAAATTTTGGATTGGGATTATATTAAATTACTATGCACAAAACCACAAGAAAAAAAAATGACTTTTAAAAATAAGTTTCCAAAAAAGTAGTGATGTGGTCATCAAAATTGCTCACAAGCACGCTCTTTTGAGAGACCAACACTAAGGAGGGTGGAAGAAACAATAATGTATGTGTTCCTCTTAGGACTATTACTGTTTTTTTCCTAAGTAAAATTCTCTCCTAATGAAAGGAATGTATTGAACCTAATTCTGAGTATATCCAGAAAAGCAGCCACTAGTGTGATGATCATGAACAACATGCCCACAAGTAAGGGATATGTAAGACAAAAGAACAAGCAGCAGGATACAGAGACAGCTGCCTTTGGCAGTGGTTCCAAGGTCCTTCTTCATAAGGGCTCCCCGCTGGCACCACTCACAGTATTAACTATTACGTCTTGGGGAAGAAAAAGTAGCCTCTTTTCCAACTTAACAGATGTTATGGAAATCATATGACAAAGATTATCAAAGATCCTTTTAGAGAATTTTGCTTTAATACAAAAGGATGGGGTGGGGGGTGGGGTTTCACCACCAATAGGTACTGTACTAAGAGACCTGTCGATACAGAGAGGAGGAAAAAAGGAAGAGGTTTTTAAAAAAAACAGCACAGAGATGAGATAAAAAAGGAAGATTGTTGAGAATGAGAAAAAGATAAAAGTAAAAGCTTGAGGGACAGACAAGCAATTAAATTTGATCAAGGACATAAGTAAGATCCATACATTTAAGAGCTTAGAGACTTCAAGAGAAAAGTGGCCTGATAGAGCTTCCTCCTCTTATAGTATTAGCACAGTGTTAATTAGCTTCTGGACTTCACTAAACTGAAGCTCCCTTTGAATTATCCACATCTAATGTCATCTCATTGTTGGCATCACTGAAGTTCCTTGAAATAGAGACTAGGTCTTATACAGAAAAGCCCTCTCCTCACTCATCTATAGGAGTAATTATGGGGAAAAATAATATGAATTGCTGGCTACATTGTGCATAGAAGAGATTTTGATAAGCCAGCAGGTGCACTTTTGTCTGTGTCATCTGCTGTGAACTTGAAGTTAATATACCAACTCATTTTCCAGTTACACACATCTTTAAAACATGGACACTTGTGGTTTCAAATATACTGTCATTAAAATTTCAGGTGCTGGACCAGGGATTTAGTTCAGTGGTTCCACCGCCTGCCTCACAAGCACTAGGACCCGAGTTCGATCCCCGTTTGATCCCCATACCAAAAAATAAAAATAAAATAAAATAAATTTCAGGTGCTTAGCCTACATTCCATAACAAAAAGTTTAATTTCAAAAAAAGTTCTCAATACAGTTTCCAGCATATAGTAGGCTCACATTAAATGCCAGTAGGACAAATTTAAAAAAACAAAAACAAATCCCTGCTCTTTCTAAATCTTCCCAGCTGAGGAATAGTTGGAACCTTCTCAAGATAGGAAGAACATGCTTCCAAATACTGGGAAAGGGAAGCATTTTTAAGTCACTCTGCAGCGAGGCAAGAAAACAGGTGCCAATTTTTGCATTCATTTTAAGGGAATTTCTGAGTCTGTAAAACCAAAGAAACGTTCAGTAAGAAAAATCATAAACTTTATGCATACTTTGGAATTTTGGAACTGTTGAGCTAGAACTCTGGGTCTGCACAGATGACTCTGAAGTGACAAAGCCAAAGTGTTTGCACTGGAACTTTGATAAATGACCTTTTGCCCCCAGAATTCTAGGTGATTGCTGGGATTTACTTGAAACCTTCAACCTGGATACGCGCCAGACAAGCCCAGCTTTCCCAGCGAATTCGAGTGACTCCAGGAAGAAACCCCCACAGCAGGTCCCGAGACCCTCGCTCCCGGGGGTATCCAGGGCATCGTGCCTTTCAAGTCACCCCAAGTCTGTTTTCTGCGGCTCTCCTTGAAGCTCTCATCGAGCGCCAAAAGGGGACCGAGTCAGTACAGCAGGGTGACACAGTCCTGGGAGAGAACTGCCCCGAAAAACACTCCGGGTCTGCGCAAGCCTGGAAGGTGGACCTTAAGCCCGAACCCCGAGCACGCGAGCGACACCGCCCCGGCAGCAGACTGAGGCGCGGCCCCCGCCCTGGCCGGTGCGGCACTCACCGCTCAGGTAGTTG